TATTAAGTTTACGAATATTTCGAAATAACCAATAACATTAAAGATATTTTAAAATTTACTGTTGGTTTTATTTGTATTTGTTGTGGTTTTTGGGTAACCGATTACCTGCCGAGCCTCTGCGCTGGAGCAGATGCCGTGCCGAGCAATCGCTAGCTTGACCGAGGACAAGTGAAAATATTCGATTATGTATAATTAAAACTTTTCGAGTTATTTATAGTTTTTCTTTTCACATATTGAAAAAAGAAAAAGTAGCTTTTGTATAGAAGAGCAACGAAAGTTTCGAGAAACTAAGAAAATCTTTCGTTAACGGAAATAATAAAATTTTCGAAAAGGTCTTCTTAAATTTACTACAAATTTCTCAACCTGTGTTACCTATTTGCCAGTCCCTTAGCAACTTCCACAATTTCTAACTAATTTAAGAAAATCAGTTTCTTAGTGAAAAAGAGGTAAAAATAATATACCCACATAAATAAAATAATATCAATTTATAAATACACAAAAAAAATGTTTTAACTACAATTTCACCAAAAATCCAAGATATCCAATAATCTTTGGTTATGTCTTAGTCTTTCGCGTGGTCTTTCGTCAAATTTTCGACTTTAATGCGCAAACTCTAGTACAATTCCCATTGGAAAACACAATTTCCAATGCTCGTAAGCAGGGGAATATTTTCCCATACTTCTCATTGGAAAATATTCCACCGCTTATGCCGAGAATACGAAAACTGAATTCCCATGGGAAAATTTTATTTACCCATGGGAATAAAAGTCGAGAATTGACCCCCAGGGCCTCGATTCTCGAGATCATTGGAAAATTTTCCCATGAGAAAATATTCCACTACTTATATTCCCATGGTAATAGGTTATGCAATTCTCGAACGTGTCGGAATAGACATTCCCATGGAAATAGTAGTTTCACGTATGTCTGATATTAAGTTCACGAATATTTCGAAACAACCAATAACATTAAAGATATTTTAAAATTTACTGTTGGCAATATTTGTATTTGTTGTGGTTTTTGGGTATCCGATTACCTGCCGAGCCTCCGCGCTGGAGCAGGTGCCGTGCCGAGCAATCGCTATCATGATCGAGAATAAGTGAAAATATTCGATTACGTATAATAATTAAAACTTGTCGAGTTATTCTTAGTTTTTCTTTTCTCATGTTGAAGAAAGAAAAGGTAGCTTTTGTATGGAAGAGCAACGAAAGTTTTGAGAAACTAAGAAATTCTTTCATTAACGAAAATAATAAAATTTTCGAAAAGTTCTTATTAAATTTACTACACTCAATTTGTGTTATTTGCCAGTCCCTTAGCAGCTCCCACAATTTCTAAATGATTTAGGAAAATCAGTTTATACAGTTTCTTAGTGAAAGATAATTAAAAATAATATACCTACATAAATAAAATAATATCAATCTATAAATACGCCAAAAAAATGTTTTAACTACAATTTCACTAAAAATCCAAGATATCCAATAATCTTTGGTTATGTCTTAGACTTTCGCGTGGTCTTTCGTCAAATTTTCGACTTTAATGCGCAAACTCTAGTACAATTCCCATTGGAAAACACAATTTCCAATGCTCGTAAGCAGGGGAATATTTTCCCATACTTCTCATTGGAAAATATTCCACCGCTTATGTCGAGAATACGAAAACTGAATTCCCATGGGAAAATTTTATTTTCCCATGGGAATAAAAGTCGAGAATTGACCCCCTGGCCAGAAGCTAGATGCTTTATTTAACCGCATGATACATTATTCATTATTAGGATTTATTCCAAGTAAGACGATTCCTTTATTTTTATCTGCAGTCATTGGCTCAATTCAAATGTGTATGGGGCCCTAAAACTGAATTTATACTTATAAATATTACTCAGCTTTCACTAATTTTAATATATTTAATCATATAGTTAGTACAAAAATAATTTTATTCGGCATATTAATTATTAGCGAGTAAGACCAAGTTTATGGGAACTAATTGGTACCAATTGGGGCAAGTCTAATGTACTGGTATTATTTAATTTTGAAGTATTGTTTAATTCATTTATGTGTTGCATAGGTAAATATTAACTTTAGAATTTAGAGCCATTCAAGTAACTATTCAAATATCTATATTATATTTAAATTGTTATATATACAGTGTGTCTACTTAAGTTGGAACCATATGGAAAACATTTTTATTATTGATTTTAGGAAAAAAATTTATTCTTGATAAAAAGTCCTGCATGACCCAAAACTTAAAATACAGTCATCAGATATACGAGGTTTGTCAAAAAATATGAATTTTGCTCAAGAGTAAAGTACGTTTATTTTTTTACAAAATCGAAAATTTTCATTAAGAAATTTGCTAAATTCTTCACAAACATCAACAAAAGGAAAGCGTATCATGTTTGTAGTACCTAACGTAATTTATAACGTTTTCAGATATTTACAATCAATGTGTAGAGTGTAGAGTTTATAAAAAATAAGAAAATCTGTTTTTGCAGATAGATCGGTGTAATTGCATATTTAAATGTAATATTCAATTCTAATCAACTTTTCTTAATGAAAATTTTCGATTTTGTCAAAAATAAACGTACTTTACTCTTGAGTAAAATTCATATTTTTTGACAAACCTCGTATACGACTTGAAAAATTTGATATGTGATGACTGTATTTTAGGTTTTGGGTCATGTAGGACTTTTTATCAAGAATACCGTTTTTTCCTAAAATCAATAATAAAAATGTTTTCCATATGGTTCCAACTTAAGTAGACACACTGTATATCGGGTCGGTGGTGTAGCGGTGTAACGCGCTTATATTCATTTATAAGCAAGTTTATGTGTCAGAGACTGCTGGGCTTCTAATCCGAGACCAGACCATGTGGATTTTTAATTAAATTGCATGGTTCGGTATAGGATTTGATATGTGCCGTATTAATATAAATTCAATTTCTGTTGATATGACATGCAGATTATAAAAAATCGCCATAAATTACCGTCTCGATGATGGTGGGTGAGGTTTTCCGGGTTTTCCTCACCTGTAAGTCAAATGGCACCATCAATCATCTTTAAGACGCCCCGGAGCGCCACGGCAAATAATAATAATAGCCGTTCCTTTCCCCACACAAGCTCAGCTTTTGGGGTTAAAATTCACTCGTAAGGGGGTGAATTAGGGAGAGTATTATTATTATTATTATTATTATTATTATTATTATTATTATTATTATTATTATTATTATTATTATTATTATTATTATTATTATTATTATTATTATTATTATTATTATTATTATTATTATTATTATTATTATTATTATTATTATTATTATTATTATTATTATTATTATTATATTTTACACGTGAACACTGCTGACGCAGAAGGTACTACATTTAGTACAATTGTAAATTGTACTAGACTGGCAACACTGGTTTGGCAACCTTGTTTGTGAGCAGCGCACCAATTAATGTGTTCTTCGACAGTTTGAAGGACCTGTTGGCGTGTTGTCTTCTTTTTTTAGCTATGTGCATTCGCCATATCGTCTCACTCGTGGTGGAATCACTCATCATAATGCGCCACAGACACAGTATACTTAGGTATACAGAGACGCTATCTGCCAGAGGACAATGATGAACCAAAAAATATAGATTTATACGTATGAAAATGAAAATATTAAAATTAAATTTATATTTTCATGTTATTTATGTAATTTTAAAATAATGTGTTTTTATGAAATTTAACTGGGTATTCACTGCACAAATGAACCAATGGAGAAACCTTCCCCTGATATGACATATTATTGCGAAGTAAGGTGGCTAAGCAAAGGTTAAATGCTAAAAAGATTTTATGACCTTAAAAAAGAAATAGCTGATTTTATGGAAATGAAAGAGGAAACATTGCCGCAAATTTGTGATCCAACTTTGCTTTGTGACTTGGCCATTCCTGGTAGACATTACAGGACACTTAAACGATCTGAACTTGAATCTTCTAAAAAAGGGCAATTGATAAATTAACTGTACAGTCATCTCATAGCTTTTCAAAACAAAATTCGATTGTGGGAAACACGAATGAGAACTAAAAATCGTTTTAATTTTTCATAAACACTGAATACGGTCGTTATGCTAAAGAATTGAAACTACTGTCCGAGTAATTTACTGATCGATTTCCGATTTTAAGAATATTGATTGCGCTTTTATTATTTTTATAAATCCTTGTAGGTATAATGTAGAAGATGCTCCGTTTCGCCTACAAATGGAGTTGATCAAGCTTCAAGAAGACTCATGTTTGAAGTCTAAATTTGATGATGTGGTACTAAGCGAATTTTACAGAACATACCTTTCCAAAGAAAAGTATCCACAGCTGAGAGTTTCCGCAGGAAAAATAATTTGCACATTTGGAAGCACGTATAAATGTGAGCAGTTTTTTTAATCGCGAAAATTAATAAAAATAAGCATCGTACTCGGCTTACAGATGATAATTTAGAAAACACTTTGCGCCTATGTACTAGTGATATTGACCCTAATATTGATTATCTTGTTTCTCAACTTCAAACTCAAGTCTCTCATTAATTTTCATTTGATTTTTCTCTTTTTTTATGAACTTGCTTTTATATTTTTGATTGAGCATAATCATTATGCTATTATAATTAATAAATAAAAAAATGTGTTAATTTTTGTCGCTATTTTGTTCACTACTACCTACTTATTTCTTGCCTACGGCCCGCGACCTAATTAAGTCCCGAAATTACGCACGGGGATATGCAAAGGTTGCCCATACCTGCTTTGAAGTCTACTTTAGGTCAAAAAAATTGTAAAATACGAGACTTCCCGTATCAATGTTTACTAAACAAAGGGAAATGAGTAGGTATTCTTCACTTAAAATTTCTCCGAAAAAATAAAATAAATATTCTAAACAAATAGACTTAAGAATAGAAAATATTACATATCCGTTTTTCGTGGACAGATAAGTATTTGTTGTATGAATAAAATTAAATGTAAAGTAAAATAATTTCAGTTAATTAGGTGTTTTCGTTCAGAACGCTTTAAATTATTCGTGGTGCGGTTCCTCTGAAATGAAAATGAAAAATTTACTTTCTAGATTGCGTAAATATAGTTTCAATAGTAATAGAAATGTTGGGAATGTGGCGGATTCTGTTTCATATTTTGGAATGGTATGTAATAGACATTATTAGTAATTTTTATTTATCATGAAAATACAAAATCTAATATACGTAGGTACATTAATAAGTTATGCTCGTAAATAAAAATGAAAACACAAAAAGGAAAATCCTGAGCGTGGGTACACACAAAAGAGGTAGGGTACAGCTAGGTACATAAACAATGACGTGTTTCACGGTTTTTTATTTTCATATTTTAAGGGAGGGGTGAAAGTTTACACATAAATATCGGTTTTTTAATGGTAGGAACTTGAAAATTAGAATTGTAGCTACACATCACGTATTTCAGGATTTTTGGATTTTTTTAATTCATCATTGACTGTTACATCAGTTTTTTTTTAGTTTTATTTAGTTATTCACTTTAAACATTTAAATACAATAATTTTTAAATTTTGTTAATTTCATTTAATATCCTCCAACTCAGCCCGTGTCTAAACAAGATTTGCCTGTTTTGCACTGGATTAAGTTGAGGATATTTTATTAATTGTACATAGGAATAATTAGAAATCATGTTAGTGTTTTTAACTTTAGGGTAAAAGAGAAAAACTGCAACAGTCAACAGAAGTATCATGGTGGTATAAAAAATGAGTCTGTTGGTGGCATTCCTATTAATATTAATGGGGTTTAAGTTATAAAACTTTGAGCCGAAAAAAAAGCTATCTTTGAGTTACAGTTTTTTTAAAGCGTGCGATATTAAGGTCTATATTTGCTAATGCGCGGTCTAGGAAATAACGCTTAAGACAAAAAAGTCATGTTAACCGTCTGACTCGTGTTGAGCTCTATGCAGGGTGATCCATTAGTGTGAAAAAGTCCAATATCTCCGCCATTATTAGAGATATAAAAAAAATGTTTTTACAGAACGGTAGACAGCGTTAAACTACATATTTATTTTTTAATATACAGGGTGTTTAATTACTTCTCTCAGGAACCAACTTATGTTCTTTTTAATGGATCACCCTGTATTTTATTTTATATTTTAATTACCTTCGCTTTTCCCATTCTAAAAATATAAATTATTATTGGTTTATACAGGGTATTTTGCAGGATATAATCAGTTTTGTATGAAAATCGTACTGAATTCAATGACCTATATCATACAAAGAAACAATTGACAACCAATTTTTTTTTCTACCACAATTTTTCAATCATGGTCAAATTTTATCCGGAGACACTACTTTTTTCAATTCGCATTAAATCTGTACAGGGTGAGTCAAAACACAAATACATAATTTTCTCAATTTTTTAAATGGTTCTCCCTGTATTTTATATCATCGTTCAAAAGTATCCTAATTATACTTTAATTTGACTTAAGTATTCCCTATACCAAAAGTTGTTTTTAGAGATTTTTAAATTTCGATTTTTCGATTTTTCGTTTTTTTCGATTTTTCGATTTTTCGATTTTTCGATTTTTCGATTTTTCGATTTTTCGATTTTTCGATTTTTCGATTTTTCGATTTTTCGATTTTTCGATTTTTCGATTTTTCGATTTTTCGATTTTTCGATTTTTCGATTTTTCGATTTTTCGATTTTTCGATTTTTCGATTTTTCGATTTTTCGATTTTCCGTTTTTTGATTTTTCGATTTTTCGATTTTTCGATTTTTCGATTTTTCGATTTTTCGATTTTTCGATTTTTCGATTTTTCGATTTTTCGATTTTTCGATTTTTCGATTTTTCGATTTTTCGATTTTTCGATTTTTCGATTTTTCGATTTTTCGATTTTTCGATTTTTCGATTTTTCGATTTTTCGATTTTTCGATTTTTCGATTTTTCGATTTTTCGATTTTTCGATTTTTCGATTTTTCGATTTTTCGATTTTTCGATTTTTCGATTTTTTGATTTTTCAATTTTTCGATTTTTCGATTTTTCGATTTTTCGATTTTTATTTTTCGATTTTTCGAGGGTTTATTTTCGTTACGGAATTTCTTGATTCGGTCGCCGCGCATAAAGCCCGCGATAAAATCTATGCAATAGCTTAATAATGAAATAGTTAACACTGATAAAATAAATATAAATTTAAATAAATTTAAATAAATTTAAATAAATTTAAATAAATTTAAATAAATTTAAATAAATTTAAATAAATTTAAATAAATTTAAATAAATTTAAATAAATTTAAATAAATTTAAATAAATTTAAATAAATTTAAATAAATTTAAATAAATTTAAATAAATTTAAATAAATTTAAATAAATTTAAATAAATTTAAATAAATTTAAATAAATTTAAATAAATTTAAATAAATTTAAATAAATTTAAATAAATTTAAATAAATTTAAATAAATTTAAATAAATTTAAATAAAATTTAAATAAATTTAAATAAATTTAAATAAATTTAAATAAATTTAAATAAATTTAAATAAATTTAAATAAATTTAAATAAATTTAAATAAATTTAAATAAATTTAAATAAATTTAAATAAATTTAAATAAATTTAAATAAATTTAAATAAATTTAAATAAATTTAAATAAATTTAAATAAATTTAAATAAATTTAAATAAATTTAAATAAATTTAAATAAATTTAAATAAATTTAAATAAATTTAAATAAATTTAAATAAATTTAAATAAATTTAAATAAATTTAAATAAATTTAAATAAATTTAAATAAATTTAAATAAATTTAAATAAATTTAAATAAATTTAAATAAATTTAAATAAATTTAAATAAATTTAAATAAATTTAAATAAATTTAAATAAATTTAAATAAATTTAAATTTAAATTTAAATAAATTTAAATTTAAATTTAAATAAATTTAAATAAATTTAAATAAATTTAAATAAATTTAAATTTAAATTTAAATAAATTTAAATTTAAATTTAAATAAATTTAAATAAATTTAAATAAATTTAAATAAATTTAAATAAATTTAAATAAATTTAAATAAATTTAAATAAATTTAAATAAATTTAAATAAATTTAAATAAATTTAAATAAATTTAAATAAATTTAAATAAATTTAAATAAATTTAAATAAATTTAAATAAATTTAAATAAATTTAAATAAATTTAAATAAATTTAAATAAATTTAAATAAATTTAAATAAATTTAAATAAATTTAAATAAATTTAAATAAATTTAAATAAATTTAAATAAATTTAAATAAATTTAAATAAATTTAAATAAATTTAAATAAATTTAAATAAATTTAAATAAATTTAAATAAATTTAAATAAATTTAAATAAATTTAAATAAATTTAAACAAATTTAAATAAATTTAAATAAATTTAAATAAATTTAAATAAATTAAAATAAATTTAAATAAATTTAAATAAATTTAAATAAATTTAAATAAATTTAAATAAATTTAAATAAATTTAAATAAATTTAAATAAATTTAAATAAATTTAAATAAATTTAAATAAATTTAAATAAATTTAAATAAATTTAAATAAATTTAAATAAATTTAAATAAATTTAAATAAATTTAAATAAATTTAAATAAATTTAAATAAATTTAAATAAATTTAAATAAATTTAAATAAATTTAAATAAATTTAAATAAATTTAAATAAATTTAAATAAATTTAAATAAATTTAAATAAATTTAAATAAATTTAAATAAATTTAAATAAATTTAAATAAATTTAAATAAATTTAAATAAATTTAAATAAATTTAAATAAATTTAAATAAATTTAAATAAATTTAAATAAATTTAAATAAATTTAAATAAATTTAAATAAATTTAAATAAATTTAAATAAATTTAAATAAATTTAAATAAATTTAAATAAATTTAAATAAATTTAAATAAATTTAAATAAATTTAAATAAATTTAAATAATGTATTCTCTTCAACTTACCATAATCTATTTAGGTATTAATAAAAAACAAAATGCAGTTCCATACTACAAGTCGTTAAATTTGTATCCATATTTGAAAAAAGCAGATAAAATTTAATCATATGCTTTTAATTTTTGAGTAGATGATTTTATTACTAAAATTGAATGTTTTTTATATTATTTTTAAACTAAGCCCATTTTTAGAAGTTACATATTATGTTGGTACTTGTATGCATGTACACTACAATCAAATGTACTTACGAGCCCGTATTTAGAACATACTTTTTAATTAATCACTGCATGTCGTACCAACATCATAACCGCTAGACTCTAGGAAAAATTAATTCACAGCATTGCTTTTGGTACTGGTAGGCACAGATATATTAAAGTACCAACATAGTATGTAGCTTTTAAAAATTCACTTGGATTAAATTATCCTCAATATAACTTATTGAAGTTGTTAAAAACCCTTTTAGTTTCATTTGTATCTCCAAAATGATAAAAAATAACAATTTAGACGTTATATAAGCAGTAAAATCATCTGCACAAAAACATGAAGCCGTGACTAATTTTAGTTTTTTTTTTGTCTCTTTAAATATGGAAACGAATCTAACTAATTCAGAAATGTACTTTCTTGTGTAACTCAAAAATAATTTGAAGTTAAAAATGTTTGTAGTAAAAATAGTCTGTGCGCAAAAATAATAAACACTGCTTTATTTATCTTTTGTGTGCTTTTCAGGTAAGGTTAGGTTCATTGCACTAGGTTTGCCAACTGTTCATGTTAATTGCACTTGAGACCGGAGAATCAACCATACGAGAGCGATAGATACTTAAAAAATTAATAAAGTAGTCCCAACGGACAAGTAAAAGATATTACCTGATTAGGGATGCTTTTAGTGGGTAAAGGATAATCCTGACTGACACTAAAGATCCGGGAGTCATAAACTATTGGAAAAGGGAGAAACCTGTACCGAATCTCTATAAAGGATTTCCACATACCAAAAAAAGATTAAGAAGTTAATTCAATCGAAAACTAATTTTAGGGGCAGTGTATCTAAAAATATACATAATTAAAAACTAAAAAGAAAATTATTTGAAAATTGAATGAATTATTTTATCACATACAAAACAACTAAATAAATTACATTAAAATTTAAAAAACAATAAAAAATCGTAGAATTTGAGGGTGGGCTTTGGCGTTGAACGTGTTTTTAGGATGTAATAAGATGCCCAATGTAAAAATGTATTTATATACTTGTTGGAGGTTACAAGAACAGCAATTTTTTTTGTAGAAATGGTATACTGTGACGTAACAACTGGATGTCACAAGATACACAAGTCTTTGTAAAGGTTGGATGTCACAAAGTCAAAATTTTTGCTGGATATCACATGATACCGCTGGGCGAGTATATATTATATTTATGTATATGCTGGTGCATTATATATTAAAGAAAATAGCTAACATTACAGATGACTTATTACCGCACACATCGGCGATAAAATACAACTTAGTCAATTCACGATTTAAATCTTTTAAATCTTCTACATTATGGTTAATTTACTCGATGTTTAATAAAAAAATGAAAAAATCACAACAAATTCCTAATGTAAGACAGGTTAAAAAAATAAGTGAATAAATTATACATTTTAAAATTTATATAAAAATTAGATTAAAGAAAGGTAAATTTGTTACAAATTTAAAAGTAACAACAATAATACATATTTATTACTCTTAATATTTCTAATTTTAAATCGTTAATAAAGTTTATCAAATTATTTTAAAAAAATGTGAAATTTGGGTTTTAGTGATTGTAGTCGTGTACCACTTGTGCAGAGAACCTATTCCATATTGGTGTTATAGTTTTACACATTGTGTGGAATTGGTTACTATCTGCACTTGTTGCAGAATATACTATTATGTAACTCTAACAGAATATATTAGTATTTACGGAACAATAATACAATACCTATAAAATGCATTTACCTTAATACAATCAATTTATAGAGCAACATTGGTTGACAACGTTGATTGGGTTGAAAATAGGACTGATCAGGAAAAACGGTTGCAATCTCTGTTTTCAAAATGTAAAAGTTACCAAAAATTTATTTTTTTTTCAGTTTCGATATGCAAGACTCTCCGACAAATTGCTGTTATTTACAGGTATATTCTGTTGTATACTAGGAGGGATTTTAAAACCAATACACTATACCCTAATTGGTCATTTAATCAATGAGTATGTAAAATTTACTGCATATAGTAATTCTGTCAATACCTCCACGACACTTGAACAGAAAACCGAGGCAGAAGAAGCTTTTTTAAATTACATATCTTTTTTTTGCAAAACATCTGCTCTTATTGGTCTACTGCTGGTTATTTTTCATTACATTTCTGTAGCTACTTTTAATTATTCCTCACTGCGACAGGTGCGTAGAAATTATTATTAACATTAAAATACAGGGTGTTTTAGAATAAAGAACCATAAATTAGGGGATTTGTAGATCTTAACTAATTATTAAGAAAAGCTAAATATAATTTTCTTGTAAACGTCCCAGTTTTCATTCTACATGATGATTAAGTGATTTTAATAAATACATAATTTTCTAAATGTTTTCTTAGGGTGAAGACTTTAACTTAAAAAGATGTATATATTAGAAAATTTTAAATAATAAACTAAAGCTAACGAAAAAACAAGGAAAAAGCTATAAATGAAACATATACAAACAGGTGCCCAAGAAAACTAAACAAAATATCACATTGGTCGTGGTATAGCGCAAAGAAATGTGCGAGAGTGTCTTGCCTGAGTTCGAGGTACACTGTTAGTTGGTTTAACAAACAGCTACAATCTATTTTGTTGTTTAATAACATGTATAAAAACGTTAAAGCCGTGCAGTTTCTTCACTCCGCTAGGGGTTCTAAATTGAACGTTTGTAATATAGCTGTATGATCAAAACCCCTAGGAGGATAGAAGCCAATGCACTTAAAATACACGTACTTTAGACATTTACGTTGTACAGATTCTACATAGTTAATTGCATTCTGATATATTGGATACCATATCAATGACGCATATTCGATATTAGTTCTGATAAATGTGATATATAAAAGTCGTAGTGTATTTACATGTGAAAAGCTACTCCAGTTTCTTATAAAATATCCCAGAAGCCTGAATCCAGAAGAAACAATTTCTGCAATAAGATTATTAAATTTAAGTTCGCTATCAAAGACTATTCCTAAATCATTGAATGTTACACATCTATCCAAAGTGGTAATGTTAAGAGAGTAATTGAAAAATTATGGGATTTTGTTTTCTATGAAATGAGATTTAGTTAATTTCAGCTGTAGATAATTATCAAGGCACCAGTTATAAATTGTACTTAGGTATTTTGCAGTAAGAAACAATCTTCATTGGATTTGATTTCAATATAAATTTTTTAATCGTCGGCAGAAAGTAAGTGTGGTATCAAGAGCTGACTTGATATATCGTTAATAAAAACAAGGAATACTAAGGGGTCCCAGGTTGGACACTTGAGGAGCACCTGATAATAAAATATATCTATCAGACCTCAAGCCAACATACTCTACAAACTCGTATCGATTTAGCAGATATGACTCCATTAACTTCAAAAGAGAATTCGAAATACCAACAGATTTGAACTTTGATAATAAATGATAATGATGGATTCGGTCAAAAGTTTTCTTTATATCAGTATAAATAACATCTACTTGACCGAAAGAATCAAGTGTGTTTGATATATACTGTGTTATACAGGCCAAGTTAGATATCTTTTTGACATGATGAAAGTGCTGAAAGTTAGAAATTAATGGTTTCACTCTTTATTATAGATGTTTTCGTAAATTATTTATCATCTCAAACACTTTCCCAAAGTTACAGAGTATGGCTATGGGTCTATAATTATTTATACAAATCAACAACCATGCAACGACCATATTAAATTTCATTTGACAGTGACAGTTCGCTTTACATACTTTTCAGATCACAACTCTAGTCATCATAATTACAACTATCTCTAGTCTTCATAATCACAACTAATCACGATACCACAGATTAACCACCTGTGACGATACACAAGGTGCATTTTAATCGCCCGCTTCTGCTTCGCAATTGTCAATTTTCTTGTTTTGATGATTAACACATTCGTCTCCGGCAACGCACGTCGCGCGTTGTTGTAAATTTTACCGTGTGCCACTAACGCGCCTGGCGCGGTCCCCATCTATTTTTTCATATTTGCCTAAATTGATGGTATCATATTATGTAGATTATTGAAAATTTAATGGTACATAAAATAAGGTGTAATTCGTTTCAGGGAATACTTGGTTTCGTCTAGTCAATGCCGGTTGCGCGTTAATGTAAAAATGTTACTATAGGGTAAGAGGCATAGGCATCCCTCCCTCCCTCCCTCCCTCCCTCCCTCCCTCCCTCCCTCCCTCCCTCCCTCCCTCCCTCCCTCCCTCCCTCCCTCCCTCCCTCCCTCCCCTCCCTCCCTCCCTCCCTCCCCTCCCTCCCTCCCTCCCTCCCTCCCTCCCTCCCTCCCTCCCTCCCTCCCTCCCTCCCTCCCTCCCTCCCTCCCTCCCTCCCTCCCTCCCTCCCTCCCTCCCTCCCTCCCTCCCTCCCTCCCTCCCTCCCTCCCTCCCCTCCCTCCCTCCCTCCCTCCCTCCCTCCCTCCCCTCCCTCCCTCCCTCCCTCCCTCCCTCCCTCCCTCCCTCCCTCCCTCCCTCCCTCCCTCCCTCCCTCCCTCCCTCCCTCCCTCCCTCCCTCCCTCCCTCCCTCCCTCCCTCCCTCCCTCCCTCCATCCCTCCCTCCATCCCTCCCTCCCTCCCTCCCTCCCTCCCTCCCTCCCTCCCTCCCTCCCTCCCTCCCTCCCTCCCTCCCTCCCTCTTCCCTCCCTCCCTCCCTCCCTCCCTCCCTCCCCTCCCTCCCTCCCTCCCTCCCTCCCTCCCTCCCTCCCTCCCTCCCTCCCTCCCTCCCTCCCTCCCTCCCTCCCTCCCTCCCTCCCTCCCTCCCTCCCTCCCCTCCCTCCCTCCCTCCCTCCCTCCCTCCCTCCCTCCCTCCCTCCCTCCCTCCCTCCCTCCCCTCCCTCCCTCCCTCCCTCCCTCCCTCCCTCCCTCCCTCCCTCCCTCCCTCCCTCCCTCCCTCCCTCCCTCCCTCCCTCCCTCCCTCCCTCCCTCCCTCCCTCCCTCCCTCCCTCCCTCCCTCCCTCCCTCCCTCCCTCCCTCCCTCCCCCCATTTCGATGTTACAACACTTACGAATTTTCGATCAGCCCACGTGTCCTAACGCGAGTTTCATAGTTTGAAATATAAATATTTGGAGTTACTATGTTACAAAAATTAATAATGTCAGTGTCAGATTCACAGTTCAATAGAGATAAAGAATTTTTTCTTCATCTTCATCTTTTCTCATTTTTCCTTTGTCAATAATTTATGTAGTTGAGGTCTATTTATTTTTGACGAATATTCAGCTTCAGTTACTCTTTTTAATGTTTTCCAAGATTTTATTCCTTCCTCACTTTGAATAAACAACCTAGATAGTCCTCTTAAGGATTTCTTAGCAAAAATTAAAAGATGTAACTCATTCCATCTCATATCCCATACAGTACAAACACATTTCTCAAATATTTAAAAATGTTATATTGAAACATTTGTAATGTTGTATAAATATTACGAAATCAGTCTAAAATATTTCTGAATTGTGCCTGAAATGAAAAAATGTCCTGTAAATATAAGTAATATTTCTGAAATAAAAATTTTAAATCTTTTAGAAATATTAAATAGTAATATTTCAAAAATATTTCATAAAATATAAAGACCACCAATTATATATCATATAAGAACAGCACAACGCATAAATAATAAAAAAAAAAGGAAATGGAAAAAAAAACAACAACTGAAATCTATAATTATTTAAAATATAAGGTTGTCTCTGGCTGGACATAGGGTGAAATCCTCTATGGATGAAATATAATAATAATAATAATTTCCTAATTCACCCCCCTTACGGCTATTATTAATATTATTATTTGCTGTGGCGTTCCGGGGCGACTTATAGATGATTGATGGTGCCATTTGACTTACTACATATCCCATCTAGGGCTGGGCGATTATCAATATAAATAATCGATTATTTTAGATTAATCGAAAATAATCGATTAATCAAAAATAATCGATTAATCGAAAATAATCGATTAATCAAAAATAATCGATTAATCGAAAATAATCGATTAATCGATTGGTCGAAAATAATAGATTAATGGAAAATAATCGATTGATCGAAAATAATCGATTGATTAAAATTGATCGATTAATTAAAATAATCGATTAATCGAAAATTATCGATTAATCGAATATAAAAATATATATAATTGATTATTTTGCCCACCCCTATTGAAGACCTCAAAAAAAATTGGTGTACGGAATGGGTTACTCGTCGGAAATCAGCTAAACTATCTAAAAAACATCAACAAATCGCCCTCTTTTATATACCGCCCATATACGGAGATATATTTGTTTACTTCAAATATTAATTTAATTATGTATGCACTCATTTTTTTTTATTTCGATTTAACATTTAAAAATTTTATAATACTTTTGTCATAACAAGCTTTTAACAAGAGTTGTATCCCACGTTATCTGGTAAAATAAGAAATTTACTGAAAAAGGCTGTTCTTAGTGATTTTTATGACAAATTTTAAGTATCAGTTATGTCACAATAAGTGAGTTGACATTGTTTTAGGGTTAATACTGCAGTTATTAATGTTACTTTTAACCAACTGATGACGATGACATCAATTTTTCTATTGCGTTCATAAGCATCTCATTAGGGGGAGGGCAACGGACTTTTTCCATAATTTTTTTTGTGTCTGTCACTTTTTAGCATTAAAATGGGAAACTAAGTTTTACTCAAGAACAAGAGTTCGATGTAATCATTGGGCGAATATCAAAATAAATAATCGATTATTTAAAATAATTTATTCGAAAATAATCGATTAATCGGAAATAATCGATTAATCGATTAATCGGAAATAATCGATTAATCGAAAATAATTGATTAATCTAAAATAATCGATTAATCGAAAATAATCGATTAATTGAAAATAATCGATTATCGATTTAAAAAATATATAATGATCGACTATTCGATTAATCGATTATTAATCGATTATTTGCCCACCCCCTAATCCCATCATCTACTTACAAATCAGAAATTCTTGAGTAAGTATTGGCCTTTTACAATATAACCCGTTTAGTAACCTTTTGTGTAACATGTATACCATGTTTCAGAAACATTTTTAGTGTACAAGTACAGATAAGAGCAAGTGAAGCGAACATACACCCGCTGTCCTCTGTAGTAACACATTCCAAACTTACGCATGCGCAGATAATATTACGCGAATATAATGGGTTATGTGAGACGTTTAGACACATACTTTGATTTTCTTTTACTATACGGAGAATGGTCGCACTGCGCAGCTTTCTGAGTGCCTTTTAAAAGAAAATAGAAAACTCCGCCATTTTGTACCTTTATTACGTGTTGCCTACATCTTGGCGCAATATTTTTAATAGGTGCGTTTTAATCATCCGCTTCTGCTTCAGAATTGTCGGTTGTCTTGTTTTAATCTGACAGGTTAAAACGACTAAACCGACAATTCCGGAAGAAGAAGCGGATGATTAAAACGCACCTGATATTTTGCTTGCTGCTGTCAGTGTCAGTGAATATTATTTTTGAAGTCACAGTTTATTGCTAAAGAATCAGTTAGCTCACTCGGACCAGTTGAAAGTTCCAAAATAACATCCACTCCAGGGATACAAATCCAGGTACGCAGAAGACTGCTGTTTTATTATAGGCGGTTGTCATATATTGTATTATCCGAGTTGCGGAGTGTATAAACTGGAACATTGACATCAAAAGTGCCGACGCAGAGTGAGCGATCTGATTCTTTAGCTATAAACTGTGTCATAGGGTTCAAAATGGCCGCGCCCTATGTTGGGCGTGTCGGACCTCTCTCTTGACCCGTATAGTAATCAAAGTATGTGCTTTTAGGCCCGTATTTATAAACAAAACTCAGCTGAGTCAGACTTGGGTAAGTGGTCCTTGAACTAAAATCGAAGTTCGGTTACAACGTCTCTAAAGTTATAGGTGGTTCCGGTGTTACATTGGATTTTAGAGATGGATATTAGCAAATCTGTAACTGTTAAATACATTTACGGATTTATTACTATCCATCTCATTCACGCGATATAACCGAACTTCGATTTTCGTTCAAAGATGACTTACCCAAGTCCGACTCAAGTTTTGTTTATAAATACGGGCCTTAATTTCAATTTGAGATGTATCCAAGCTATTAGAGTCCATGCCAGTTGGCGGAGCCAGGTATGGGTTGATATGTTCTGGTGACGGCGAAGCCCTCACCGTACGAGAAGTCGTTGCTTCGTCTTCTTGTTGCATATTCACGGGACGGCATGCGCATGGACTGGCGTTACGAGGAATATTGCTTTGTCTTCTGTAGTAGTTACGGGAAGAGTGGGAGGAGCGTATAGTGTGATCTTTTGTTGTAGATAGAAAAATTCGCCCAAATTTCGAAACGTCGGCCGGGCACGGTTTCTTTGCTTGCTCTTTTCTGTAGTGGTTATGAAATGTGTAGGACGAGCATTCCGTGCTCTTATGGTGTAGGTGTAAAAAGGGCGTGCCCGGCTGACGTTTCGAAATTCGCGCGAGAAAAAGCACTTAATCGAAAAACCAAATATAGGTACATATAAATTAAAAAAAAAAAACTTAACTAATTTACCTAACCTATGCGGCATAAAGCCATCGCTAGTTGCATCGCAAAAAATATACAAGAAAAAATATAAAAAAAACTAATTTGCTTGTGCGAGAGCAGTCGTTTAACTTTAAATGGCCGAATAGGTTAGGTAAATTACTTGGGATTTTTATTTTTTTTATTTTTGTGTATTTATTTTCGAAGCAACCTTGAAGGGCTCCAGGCTGCACAGGTTAGGTAAATTAGTTTTTAAATAAAAACCTTATTAAATTACGTAATCTATGCGAGAGCAATCAGTAAAATTTAAATGGCTCTTGGTCATACTGGTTAGCAAAATAAGTTAATTTCTTTTAATTTTTCTCACTTTTGTATATTTTTTATGTAAAGCAAGTCTCAAAAACTCCAGGCCGCACAGGTTAGTTAATTTAGAAGTTTTTTTTTTTAATTTTAATGAGTTAGGTATACGTTTACAGGAAAATATTATTTAGCTTTTTTTTATTAATTAGTTAAGTCCCCCTCCCCTGTATATAGTACTTTATTCAGAAACACCCTGTATATCACTAAAATAAATTTTAAATTAGATTTTTAGAATAAGATCCGAATATTTACGAGCTATGCTACATCAAGATATATCCTGGTATGATTCAGAGAAAAACGATGATTTCGCTAGTAGAATGTCAAAGTAAGACTATTTCAACATAACTATGTTATACAAAGCTAAAATTGTCTCTTTTAGTGACATATATAAACTCGAAGATGGCTTGGGAGAGAAAATACCATTGTTTTTAAATATGCAAGTCACTTTTATTTCAGGTTTCATTTTGTGCTTTGTAAAAGGTTGGAAACTTGCCCTTACTGCTTTAGTTCCAATACCTCTTATATTTGTTGTAAACGGATTAATACATTGGGTATGGTTTTATTTTTATTGGCTGTAATATGAATTAGAATAAATAATAACAATTTTAGTTTACTATCAAACTGGCTGAAAGTGAAATGCAAGCCTACGGAACTGCTGGATCCATTGCAGAGGAAGTATTTACATTAATAAAGACAGTAACTGCTTTTGGTGGGCAACAAAAAGAAATAGATCGATATAAAAAAAATGTAGTTGTTGCTAGAAAAAATAATATAAGGAGATCTTTATTTTCGGGTGCAGGAGCTGGTTCTGTTCATTTATTTACTTTTGGTAGTCAGGCTTTAGTGTTTTGGTATGGTATATCTCTGATAATAGAAGAAAAAGATATGCCGAATCCCACATACACTATAACCAATGTCGCTACAGTAAGTAAGAGTAAATTAAACAATATTAAAATTTCACTTGCAATTAAATTAAAATTAACATCCAAATCAATATTTTTAGATATTGTTTTGCTGTCTTCTGGGATTTTTTACAATTGGTCAATCAGCTCCTTATATTGAGACCTTTGGTTTGGCTAAATCAGCTGCTACCAACATTTTTCGTCTAATCGACAATGAACCAATTATTAATTTTCCAAAGCCTGATTTAAAGACTTTAATTTCGTTTAAAGGAAATATAGAATTTAGAAATGTTAAATTCCATTATCCTTCACGGCCAGGAATATCAGTGAGTTAAAAAAAATTTACGAAACTTTTCAGGACCAATGTAATTACAAGAGTCTTATTTCTTTTTAGGTTCTGAAAGGAATATATTTTAAAATAAAAGCAGGAGAAAAGGTTGCTATTGTTGGGGGTTCTGGATGTGGTAAGTCAACGATAATTCAACTTCTTCAAAGATTCTATGACCCAATATCAGGACAGGTAACTAACAAGTTTAAAAATTATTATTATTATTATTTTGCGAGTTAACGTATAACTGATCCTTAAAGTAGAAACTGAATTAAATAATTTATTTTATATTCTTCAACTTATCCGATAACTAATTTGGGATTTTGTAGATTCTAATTGATGGAAATAACATTAAAGAATTGGATTTAAATTGGTTAAGATCCAATATTGGTATAGTTGGGCAAGAACCTGTCCTGTTCAGTACAAGTATAATAGAGAATATTAGGTATGGAAAAGACGGAGTTACTGATGATAAAGTCATAGCAGCCGCAAAAAAGGCTAATGCTCACGATTTCATTCAATCTTTGCCAAACGGTTACAATACAATAGTGGGTGAAAAAGGAACACAATTATCGGGAGGACAGAAGCAACGAATAGCAATAGCTAGAGCATTAGTAAGAAATCCTATTTTATTACTATTAGATGAAGCTACTTCTGCTCTTGATAATACTAGTGAGGCTAAAGTACAAGCAGCATTAGACATGGTAAATATATTCTGTAGATATTTCTAGGTAATATCAACATTTATTTTTTATAAAATAGGCTAGTGCTAGCTGTACAACGATAATTGTTGCTCATCGTTTGTCAACTATCCGCGCTGCCAATAAAATTATTATGTTATCTCAAGGGGTTGTGATAGAAGAAGGATCTCATAATGAACTAATGGCATTAAAGAATCAGTACTACGGATTAGTTACTGCACAATTACCAAGCAATGAAACTGAAAAGGAGTATGGTAAAGAAATTAATGATTATATTGACAATAAGGATAAAGATACTAGTTTAAATAATTATTCAAAGGTAAATTATTTTAACTTAATTGATATTTTCCAAGTGATAATATTTTTTTTCTGTAGCAGGACATGATTGAAGATGATGATTTTGAAACAAATATGGATATAACAATATTAGATGTAATTAAAATGAATTCGCCAGAGTGGCGTTTCTTAATTGCTGCAAGTATTGCATCAATCTTTATTGGTTGTGGACTACCAATGTTTTCTGTGCTTTTCGGAAAAATTATAGGAGTGAGTATGTATAAGAAACAGACATCAGCTTTCTAATAGTTTTTAACTGATTGAGGCATGTATCTTCCAAATGAATTATTTCCAGAATGTAATTATTGGGATTACAATTAAGCTTTTTAAGGACGGGGTGCCCCTGTGTGTAAAAATCGCATGTGTTGACCAAATGTTAAATCGCACTAACTTCCGGATACATGATATTTAAAAATCTAATTTTAGCCAAAGATAAAGGTTTAACTTAGGTCCTCTTACTATTAAAAATTGATAAATTTATTATTTTCAATAAAAATGAATCAATAAAAATAAACCCATTTTATTTAATAACAGTGATTTATCTTCCATTTCAAACAAATAAGAAAAATAAATAGTAATACGATCAAGTTCAACCATTACCTACTATATTTTACTGTTTTACTGAATGAATGAATGTTTAATATTATGAATTAATTTAAAAATATACATACAAAAAAAACATATAATAAACAATAAGTCACAGATGCCATATTGAGATGTCCTGTACGTGACTATGAGAAGTATAATTGTATTAGTATTAGTATTGTAAGTTAAAATTTAAAAACGTTAAAAATATAAAAATATAAAATTATTTAAAATGCAAAAACATTAAAAATATAAAAAACATATTACCTAATGTTAGAAAATATTATCCTATAAGAACATAAAATCGAACCATACAATTATATAAATATAATGTACAAGTGGGTAAGTATTTGTATAAATGATATTATTTTATTCAATTAAGTCATGTATTTCTTTTCTTTTCTTTAACATAATCCTTAAGCATACTTTTAAAAGTTATTAAGTTTGTTTGTCTTTGGATATTGTCGGGTAAGCTATTAAATAATTTGGGTCCCAAGTACAGATAACTCTTTTGTCCTTTATCCTTGGTCGTTAAGAGTATCACATATTTATGTCTATATCTTGTCTCATAATTATGTTCGTATGTCTTAAGTCGATCTCTATTTAAATATTGTCTTGTGTTTAATTGGACGTAGTATAGTTGCCTTATATCGAGGATATTTGTTTCAGCATAGAGAGATTCAGTTGAGTATCTTGTGTTTTTGTTAAGTATTATTTTAAGAAAACGATTTTGATATATTTGCAATGATTTATGGTACACTTTTGAGACACCTCCCCATCCTATTATTCCATAGTTCAGATGAGACTCTACCAAACTCTAATATACCATTTTTTTTCTTTGATATTTAAAAATTCAGATAGTTTTTTAAATCCATACAATATACATCTTAGGTTTTTTAGTAGATAATTAATATGTATATCCCATCTAAAGCAGCAGTCTAGCATGAAGCTTATATATTTAATTTCTTGCGCAGTTCGTATTTTAAATTCATCTTGTATGGATAAATCAAAAGTAGGTTGTGAGGTTGCTGCTGAAAGGCAGGTACACTGTCTTCTGGATATTTAACGATAATAACCTGTTATCTAGAAATTTTTAAATTTTTAAAAAGTTGGTTTCTATTTTTATTTTTAAGTCATAATAATTATTTCCTTTATAAATGATCACAGGGTCATCAGCAAAACTTATTATTTTTTGGCCCTCGTTTTCTAGTAAAAATAAATCATTTATGTAAATTGTAAATAGCAAAGGGCCCAACACCGTCCCTTGTGGTACTCCACACGTTATGTCTTTTGTTTGACTAAACATATTATTTACTTTTACTTGTTGTTTTCTGTTCTGCAAATAGTTCTTGAAAAAATCGTGTGCTTTACTCCTTATCCCTATGTTTTCAATAACTTCTAACAATATAGTATGATCAACGGTGTCGAACGCCTTGGCTAGGTCAATAAAAACACCAATTACTGTTTCTTCTTTGTCTATAGAGTCATAAATATTGCTAGTCAGTTCAAGTATTGCATCTTGGGTTGATTTTCCCTCTGGAAATCCAAATTGAGATTTTGAAAGTAATTGGTATTTTTCAAGAAATCTATTAACTCTTTTTTTGACTACCTTTTCTAATACTTTGGCTAAGCTAGATATAAGAGAAATAGGTCTGTAATTTTCTACGTCATATTTATTTCCATTTTTGTAGATTGGTGTAACAATGCTGTTTTTGAATGATTCAGGAAACACTCCCATTTTAAGTGATTTATTTATTATTACGGTTAATGGGTATTTTATATAATTTACATTGACCTTAAATACTTCAGCACTGATTTTGTCATACTCAGGAAAATTCCATCTCTATGACTCAACGACCACGTATACTTTTTCTGGTAGATTAGAGGAGCGGTGCGTTTGTCTCTATACGTCAGCGGTATTTCGACCTTTATGTGTTTAAGGTTATGTTAATTAAAATATAACTATAAGGATGAGATTTTACATTCGATCTAATTAAAATATCGAATTCTAAAATTAAAAAACAAGATTATTACCTCTTATTAATAATATGGTTTTTGTTGTTATTCTAACAGTTATCACAATGTATTTTATTCTTATAGTTGCACACCATATAAAACGATCTATTTTGTAATACAGGGTGTCCCAAATAAGAGTGATCGATTTTAAATGTAAATGCACAGCTTATTAATTGCTCTAAAGAGATGGGGTTTTCACTAATTGATTTCATTTATCCAAAAGTTTTTTTTCAGGTTTGTTCACATTTTATCACATCAATACAGGGTAGGGTGATAATGTTGGTCAACTTGAATTGAAAAAATATGTAATATTTTAAATGGAACACCCTGTATATTTTGATGGCATTCAAAAGAGAGATTCATCTACTTTTTAAAAATGTATAGTTTGATATCTTTTGTTTTCTTAACAACACAAATTTTCGAGTTTTTAAGTAACTGTAGCTATTTAAAAACTGACATTAAATAAAATTAACAAAAAGAATTTGTTCAGTAACAAAACATAACAAAAATTTATAAAAAATTAGAAAACAAACATTTATAATGAGGATGTAAAAGTTACAATAAATGCTGTATGTGTCTACCCTCTTGTTCAATGCACATGCGCAAGCGGAATTTTAAATATTCAAACGATTTTTCTAACATATCTAGCGGAATATTTTCGATAATGTTATCTTTTGGTTCTTCTACGTTGTTAGGCTTAGGACTGTAGCATTTGTCCTTCACATATCCCCAGAGAAATAATTCTGGGACAGTTAGATCAGGAGATCGCGATGATCACTCAATCGGTCTAGCTCGATCTATCCACTTTTGATTAAAAAAATTATTTAATGAATCTCGTGCTATCATTGAAAAATGAGGTGGTCCGCCATCTTGTTGAAAGTAAACGATGTCTCTAATTCCATCTTGAACTAATTGTGGATAAAAAAACTATTCCAACATATCCGTGTAATTTGGACCTGTCACAGTTGTAAAGAAAAAAGGACCATAGATTTTTCTAGGGGACAACCCACACCAAACGTTAACTTTTGGACTATCTCTTTCAAATTCATTAAAAGAAGTGGGGTTTTCAGAACCCCATATTCTGCAATTTTGTTTGTTACACATTCCACTAATGTAAAAGGTTGCTTCATCAGACATGATTAATAACGTATTAGGTTCATTCCTGAATAAATCTAGTAAACTCTCGCATACCCTTAGTCGTTTTTCATAATCTGACGGGTACAATTTTTGGTAGGTGTGAATTTTATATGGAGTCAGTTTTAAAATTTTTAGACACCTTTGCACGTCACTTTTGGAAATGTCTAAAATTCCAGCAATCTTTCTAATCGAAATTCTGTTAGCTTGCAGCACTCTGTTAGCTTGCAGCACTTCATTAATAGACAACAACTTTTCAAAAAAAGCATCAGCGTTTCTTGATTTTTGTAGGTGCGCTAAATTTTACATGCCACTTTTTAATAATATTCACAGATGGGGGATTTTTACCAAATTTTCTTCTGAACGTTCTCCTTGTTTGAGAGATAGATTTAGTTTCTGCATAAATTAACACAGTTTGAGCTTTTTCAGTTACTGAATAAATCATTTTGTGACAGTAAATTAAATTACTTCTGTTTTTATGAATTGTCAAATTTGTTGATTTTGTTGTCAACTTGTCATAGCAAGAGTTGATTTATTTTACTATGTATCAAATTATGTTCAAATAAATCTGCCTACTAGTGTTTTACTCTCCTATGAAATAGACAGATGTATGTAATTTTAATGAATTTGAAAGAAATAGACCAAATGTTAATGTTCGGTTAATTTTGTGTGTGTTAAATTTCAATTACGCATGTGTATTGAAGAGGACGGTATACATAGGCACATACAGCATTTGTTGTATCTTTTACATCCTTCATTATAAATAATTGTTTTGTAATCTATATTAAATTTTTGTTATGTTTTGTTACTGAACAAATTCTTTTTATTAATTTTATTTAATGTCAGTTTTTAAATAAAGAAAACAGCAGTGTTAAAAACTCGAAAATCTGTGTTGTTAAGAAAACAAAAGATATCAAACTATACATTTTTAAAAAGTAGATGAATCTCTCTTTTGAACGCCATCAAAATATACAGGTTGTTCCATTTAAAATATTACATATTTTTTCCATTTAAGTTGACCAACTTTAGTGGATCACCCTGTATTGATGTGATAAAATGTGAACAAACTTGAAAAAAAACTTTTGGAAAAATGAAAGCAATTATATTCTATTTTTATGTATGAGAGAGTATTAAAATAATGAAGCGTTCGTAATTCATAGGCGTACCACTTCTTTTATTAGACAGTTAAAATATTTTTTTAAGTTATTCCTCGAGTATACACTTATATTTTCACCTAATTAACCTGCTTATAACTTCTAAACAGCTAAAGGTAAAAAAGTGCAATTTTTTCTAAAATGTTTTATTTTTCCACAAGGTATGTTAAGAACATTGTGTCAAACGGGTTATGTAGGTATAAGGGTTTAAACTTTGACTTTTAAACAACGTTATGTTCATAAATAATAATTTTAATATAAAAACTACTTCTTACCTACAAATCCAAATCAGAATCGAAATCAGAAGATGAACTGTCGCAACCAATATTTACAATGAGTGGCTCGATCATTTCATCAGTAATATTGTCCAACTTCCACATTTTCTCTTCTTATTTAATCGTATGATTTACTGCCTTTTTCCAGTTTTCAGGCTTCATATTATTTACAGCCTCCAAAAACAACTGTTTAACATCACTCGTTTTAAAAGAATTATTTTTTCTTGAAACTTCTCCCTTTATCTGTGCCCATATCAGTTCAATCGGGTTTACTTCGCAATGATATGGTGGTGATCTAACCACCGTCCCACGATTTTTTGCAATTTCATCAATTTCATATTTTTTTTATTTCTCTTTATGAAGGGAACACAAATGATACAGTTCTTTTCTCACAGAACCGGGATGGAACTTAATATTCTTTGAATTTAGCCAATTCTGTAAATCTTGTTTTAACCACTTGGTTGTGGGCATTTTTTCTATAAGTCTCGAGTGATAACTTGCATTATCTATTACTATTATATATACAGTTCTGAGGAAAAAGATCTATAATTTGTTCGAACCACTCTTTAAAGACATTAGCATTCATGTCCTCGTGGTAGTCACTGGTACGAGTAGATTCAAAAGTCAATAAACCACCTTTAACAAAACCGTTTGAACTACCGATGGTACTATTATTAGTCTGCGCCCCTTTCCTGATAGTGGATTTAAACCAGTAAATAAATTATTTAAAAAAGCCTGTCTTCGACTTGTAACAGTTTCATCTTGCCAAAATTTATTTGGTTTATGTCCCTCGTTGATCCATGTTTCATCTAAATAAAATATATTTCTTTTTTGGTTTCTCATTTCTTTTATAGTCCTTAGGTAATTTCTTCTCCATACTACAATATCGCTTCTTTCTATTAAAATAGACTTCCTGGAATGCTTTTTCCATAGAAAACCTATTTCTTTTAAAAGTTTCCATAGTGTGCTTCGACTCATTTCAGGGTAATCCTTATTATCTCGAACTGTGGCAAGAACTTTGTCTACTATCGGAAATTATTTTCTAAAGAAGAACTTTCCTTCGAAGTCTTTCTTTCAAAAGATTTTCTAATTGAAATTTTGGTTTTCCTGGAGCTTTACGTGCTGTTTGAAACTCGCCACATTTCTCTTCTTTAACAACTACGTAAATCGTAGATTTCCCAACACCAAGCGTACTACTAACTAATCCCACTGTGTCATCAACACTTTTACATAAATGTTTGTCTGTAAATGATTTAAAACAATCAAATATTAATGTTTTTTCATTAACTGTTAAAGGACTGATTTTTTGTCGTTTACGCGGCGCTTCCAAATTTTCCATGATCACACTAGAATTCACACTACACCTTGCAAGTTGCAACTAAACGACATTTAGTAAACTGTCAAGAATACACAACTTGGACCTCCTTACTAAATGTAAAACCTATAATCGCATTTTCGGTGAAATTTGTTGGGAAGGTATTTATCTACTTATAATTCGATTACTGTAAGAAATTCTTGGAATTAAAATAAAACAAAATTGGAAAATAGGTACTTATTGAAAATAATCTTAAGATACGGCTATGTAATCTTTAATACACAGGGCTTTTGGCCTGTTCAAACCTTTTTCTATTGTTCTGTACAGCTTATGTTTATAAAGGACCAATAAAAGACCCAAAACTTGTAATACCTCAGGTACATTTATTACAATTTTAGGAAATATTTAGATTATTCTGTAAAAATATTTAAAATGACCGTACTAAGTTTTGCATTAGAAATGCTGTTTTATTAGTCTCTCATACATCAAAATAGACTATAGTGAAAATCCCATCTCTTTAGAGCAATTAATAAGTTGTGCATTTACATTTAAAATCGAACACTCTTGTTTGGGACGCCCTGTATAATACATACGGCACTGGCTCACATCTAAGCATTTTTACTTTTATTTTCACCAACCGCTTTCGTTACTATTTGGTCACGTGGGTTTCGGGTACTCTTGAAGACCCAGTAGATAGATAATAATAATTTCATTATTCATTTATTCACGATAGTTAATATTTCTTCATTCTTTTAGCAATTGGCCAATACTGACACACAATATTTATTATCACAAGTAAATACATTTTGCGTTTATTATATTATAACTGGCGGAATTTTGATGATATCAACGTTATTGCAGGTAAAATTTTAAAAAACATCCCATTGGTACCACTTAGTACAAAGTAAATTTTGATTTTCTAGTTCTATTTCTTAGGAATTGCTGGAGAAAGAATGACAGAGAGAATTCGTGTTCGCCTATTCAAAGCAATACTTGGTCAAGAAATGAGCTTCTTTGATAAAAGATCAAATGGAGTTGGTGTTTTATGTGCTAAATTGTCTGCAGATGCAACTAGTATACAAGGAGTAAGTCTATGTGATTGTACAAATTGTTTTTCAAAAGTTGAAGATTTTATTTTTATTTTCTCTGACTATTATTGACTTCGATAATACTGATTAAAAGCAATCTAATCCATATGGACAACTATTTTTAATGTTTTGACTAGCGCATAGAGTATCTTTCAAAAATTTAGATTTATTTTTTGTAGGCAACTGGACAACGAATTGGAACAATTTTACAGGCATTTTCAACGGCTGCAGTAGCAATTGGCATTTCTCTTTACTATGAATGGAGGCTCGCTTTAGTTGCAGCATCTTTTACCCCGTTTATTATTGGTTTTATGTTTTTGAACAAACTCTTTAACAAAGCAAAAAATAACGATTCTCTGGAAGATGCAATTCAAAATTCAACAAGGGTTTGTAAAAGCACAAATTTTTCATTGAAGAATAAGTAAGTAACTATATGTGAAATATCTTGCTTTTCTATTTTAGATAGCTCTGGAGGCATTATCAAATATTAGAACAGTAGCTGCGTTTGGTATCGAACATAAATTTCATCAAAATTATATATCGAAACTGAAACCATTCTATAAATTAGCATTAAATTCAATCCACTTGAGGGCGTTGGTATATGGGCTATCAACAGGTTCTTTATTTTTTGGATACACGGCAATCATTTATTATGGAGGTTTCCTCATTGTTGCAGGATTATCTTATGATAAAGTAATTCAGTAGGTGCAAGTCTCTCATTTAGAGTCTGTTAATTCTAAACAAAGGCTGCGGTTTTCTCCTGCTCATGGATCTTCAAAACATTTACACTAAATTATGAGTCGCAAGAGATCTAGGCATTAAAAGTAATGACTAAAAATAACGTATTACTTATGTAAATTTTAATTTTAATAGCAAATACAATATACAGTGTGGAACAGCCAAATGAAATAAATTCGGTAATAAATAAATAGGGGTGTGTTCGGAAAAATTCTCGGACAAGTTGATTGATATTTTTAGTTGTGCATTTTTTAACAACTTTGTTTTATACAGTTTGTGCCATGTAACAGTGGCCAATGCCAACTTTCTTATTTTAAATCCAACACCCTGTATATTTTTCAATTTATTTATTTTTCAGAAAATTCTGGACATTTTATGTACTATGTCATATACCTAACAATTTCAGAAATATTAAATATTTTCCGATTTATTGCAAAAATTACCATTATTAAAATAAAATTTATGATTACAGAAATTCGTTACCACACACTTAAAAAATAATAAGTAATACTGTTTATTTCTTGATAATGTAACAAAAAAAACACAATGTAGGAGATGTTCAAAATGCTCGCCGCGAACCTCTTGGCAACATCCTAATCTGAAATAAAAATGTATTCTAACGTTACTCAACATCTCAGGTAGTGATGAGCGAGACTGATCTTGGTCTTGCGGTCTTGGTCTTGCTTTTTGCAAGACCAAGACTAGTTGAAAGCTTGCAAGACCAAGGCCGAGTGTGCAAGACCAAGACCAAGTGGTGCAAGACTTACGCAAGACCAAGACTCTTGCGGTATTGCGTTAATTGTTGCCTGAAAATAAAAGGTAAGTATATAAACATTCGTCTTGAAAAACCTTGGTTTTCGATATATAGGGTGTGTCTTTAGAATTGTGAAAATTAATAAATATATAGTGTTTCCAAACTCAATCCAATACAGGCGTTTGTACCGGGATTGCATAATAATTCGCGTTACATGCCATGCGAATGCTACAAATTCTATATCCTCACATTGCAAATAAGCGTGAACGGTCTTAGTATAGCCTCTGATGTGGCACACTTAAGTTTTAAACATCTACGCACCTACAGTTGATGTTAAGTCCACGAGTGAGCGGCCAGAATTGCTGGCTCGCCTGGCTGCTTAAGTTGTTTTATCTTTAATCAGTAGCGTGCACGGTTTGAAAAATTTTCCCAAAACGTTCGTTAAACTTGTTTTTATTTTTCGGTGTTTCTGTTAAATTTTGATTTGTGTTATACGAGATGCTTTCTGGAGACCTTTTGAGGTAGATGTAAATGCTAGAGTATTAATTTTACATGCTGGAAATGAAAATGGCTTTGTAGCAAACGCTTCGCTACTTTCAGCAAAATATGTCAATAAAGCTCTGCTGGTTTATCATGAAGATATGAATGCAGCAGTTTTTAAGAACTGGTTTGCTGAACAACTTTTACCGAATATTCCAACTAATTCAGTCATTATAATGGACAATACGTCATATCATTCCCGGCAAATTCACAAGAAGCCAAGTAGTGACTCTAAGAAATAAGATATATCAAAGTATAATAATCAAAGATAATAACATTGATAGTCCTGCTTCCGTAAAAACAAAACCACAATTGTTAAAGTAAGAATATTCCAATACAGTATTATATTGATAATTTTGCAAAAAATGATGGTCATATTGTATTGAGGTTACCACCTTAATATTGTGTACTTAATCCAATTGAATTAGTTTGGTCTTCAGTTAAACAAAAACTGAGACGTAATAATTTTGCACCTACCTTAACAAATGTGATTTGGAAAATATTAATGGCATTTTTAAAGATTCGTCTTGACTGACGTTTGGATAATTTGCATAAGTCACATCCTAAAAAGAAAAAAGAATATCATATTTTACCTTCTATAGCTCCAGTAGTTATATATACAAACCTTGATTACTCTACAGATAGTTCAGATTTAGATTCGAATTAACTTTCTTATTTTTCATTATTGGTAATGCGAGAGTCATCAAATTAATTCATTGTTAACATTTTATTAGTTCGTATTTATTTATTTCTTTAAAAAAAAATCATTTTTCTAATTTTATAGTTTTGTTTTATTTGCAAAGAATTTATTTTCCTTTATGGTTTTTGCTTTGAAATTTCCTTTTCCAGAAATAAAAACGAATGGGGTACAAAAAGGGATCAGTTCACGTCTGGTACCCTGTTTGAACCAAACGCCCTTATAGGCAGGTACATTTTACTCGTCTATTTACGTTTTATAATTTAATATTCAGTTGTAGCAAATTAACGAGCTATACTAATGATTTTTTTTTTTAAGTTTCAAGTATGACTACAATTAAGTGAATCGATCTAAATAACGGGTATAACGCCTTCCAATCTATAATCATTCGATCGCCTTTTAACGAATACTTTCTGGTATTTATAAAAATATTAAATTTTTAAAATGAGGTATCTACGCCTGTGACAGATCAAACAAAATTGTCAGTAAGAGTTCGGAACGAGTTGAATGGAAGAACTATACATAATTATTAATTTAATTTACTTAATTTTAATAATAAAATTGGTACGCCCATGTGCGCGGTCCCTTTGAAGTCAGTACTAATCGGTTATTCTGCCGTGTTGGATTGTGTCTAGAAAGACTATCATTTAAAGACGTTTGTTTGTTCAATGCGGGATATTCGCCAGCCGTGGATTGTATAAAGCTAGGTTGCGAAATGTTATAATTTAAACGTCATTTAAAAGTTCATTTATATATACTTTCTTACTGCGTTTAACTAGAGTTGACACGAGACGATAGATAGGACCTTATATCGTTTCGTCTCGAAATTTCGAGATACATTTTTTCGAAACAAGAGAAAAGCCTTGTCTCGTCTCGGTTCGTTTTATGTTTTATCTCGTCTCGATTTTATTATTATAAAAAATAAAATACAAGAACATATTAATAATATTCTTAAAAATTATGAGGAATTATTTAGTCTTAACATAACAGGCACGAATTTAAATAGAATAATATTTGAATTATTCTTATGAATTAATATTATTACTTGTTGATTTAAGGATACAATTTTTTTTTTATTGGATTGTTGGATATGCAAAAAAAATATTTCAAATAAAAGAACACACAAAATATGTTAAATATCAATAAACAAATATCCAATTGTTGGGAATTGAGCCACATATTTTATTTACCGTTTTTTTATATACTACGTTTCGAAAAAAATTAAGCTCTTATTCTTTTTTCGTATTCAAGTGTACAGCATATAAAAATTACTAATTAACACATTTATAATTTTAATTTTTAAAACTGTTTACAGCTTTTTACATGCTGTGCATTAAGATTATACTTAAAAACAAAAAAAATAATATTTTTGGAAACGTTTAATAAAAAAGGTTTGAATAAAAAATATATGTGGTTTATTTACAATTACAAACCACAAGCTTTAGAAGATAACTATATTTACTGTTTGCGTAGTAGTTCCTGATTTTATATTGTCCATTAAGCCTCTAATGGCAATACTTTATTCAGGGTGTTTCATTATTAACTACAAATAGAAAACACTTAGGTGATATCATAAAAACTCTTTTCGGTGCTGAAAAATGTTGTAAAATACTATAATTCACAGAACAATAACACGTTTTTTGTGTACAAAGTAGCAGTATTTAAGATTTACCAAAAAAGACAAGACTCGCAAGACTCTTGCAGCAAGATCAAGACCAAGACCTAGCTGTGCAAGACCAAGACCAAGACCAGCTGAAGGCTTGTAAGACCAAAACCAAGACCGAGTGTGCAAGACCAAGACCAAGACCAAGGTCTTGGTCTTGGTCTTGTTTTGCTCATCACTAATCTCAGGCGTGACCGATCTAATCGCAAGGTTATTCATCTTCTTAAGTCAGCTAGATCGAGAGGTTTAGTTCCTATACAATACTTTTAACATTTCCTCACAAAAAACAGTCTAATTATGTCAGATCAGGGTATTGTCCTGGCCATCCCATCGATCCTCGCTTCCCTATCCAACGATTTGGAAATACTCGATTGAGGTACTGCCGGACATTGATTTGGTGCTCCGTCTTGCTAAAACCATATCATATTCTCTGGAACTTATGGGTTTGCTGGTTCGGGATATAAGTTCCTTAAAGTTGGCACGACATTATTTTGGAACAGTGCTAAATAATTATTCAAATTGCTGTTCCACACTGCAGAATGCTAATATTTTATTAAACACAAATCTGATACAATTAATATTTATTTATATTAAAATTTAGATACCATTTTTTAGAAAAAAATTAATTTCTCTACTTAAAACATTTTTATTCTAAATTTTATTGCCTAATCAATTTTTTTCCACCAAACTTTACTAAGACTAATAAATTTCAAAACATATTTTGTTGGTAATAGATTTGATGGACAAAAAAAAAATGATATAATTTTAACTTTTTATACTAAAAGGTTTCTTGTTAATGTCACAAAATGTTGAAACCTATAGGTACTCATCGATGATGAATTGATTAACCACGTCATAGACCACGAGAAATGCACTGCATTATAATAATTTATAACCTCTCTTAAGCTGGCAGGACCAACTGGGCAGAATCGATTAAGAGCTATTACATTATTTAGTACCTATTTTGTACTAATTTGTACTACCAATAAAAATTTTGTACCATGTGCCATTTTCAAAAAAACGTGGTGCTGCTAGGTTAAAATTAAGCTAGAGGACCACATTAAAAAAAAAATTAAAAATAAAACAAAAGTAGAATTAAAGTCCTGAATTTGTACTAATTTGTACCACCAATCAATTTTTTGTACTATGTACCGTTTACAAAAAAATACATAGTGCTTCTAGTTTAATATTAGGCTAGCAGGACTACGGTGAAAAATACAAAGGTAGAATTAAAAAGGACTGAATTTGTACCAATTTGAACCATTAAAAAAACCTAATTTATTTAATCAAAGTGCCTGAAACAAATTTCAATTAAATCCAAATCTGTTATACTTAAGAAAAAAGTGACTTTTTGCACAAACAGAACCTATTGTTATTTTTGCATAAAAAACAACATAATGTAATGTGAGCCATTTCATTATTCAGTCATGCTCTAATCCTCCAAGTCCATCTCTCTCTTATTTGGCCTTTGAGGCTCAACTTGTCCAATTATCATACATAATTAAACCCCTTAAGACCAAACATATATGACGACTATGGCGGAGGAGCTTTCGATGACTATTCGAGAAAGAACGGGATAAAGTTTCTAGAGTATTCCAAATATAATGAGATGTCTCTAGTATTGGTGAGAATTAGTGAACATTCTAGTACCTTCGCCATACTTTTAAATTTGTATATAAATATTGGTGGAGGATCAAGCGGGAATCATTTATTAATAGATAGACAGTGAATATAAATAGTGAACAGTTTAAAGACATTCGAAATATATATATATATAAATTAGAATAGTATTATTATAAATAAATAAGTGTTTACATAAATTATTAATAAATAAACTGTTATTTAAAATAAACAAACATCACAATAATTTGTACCGCTAAAATATAAATTATCAGATTTTGTACCCCTGCCATTCCTATAGAAACTATCCTAAATTAATATTAGGCTCAAGAGTAAAGTATCCTTTTGCATGAACAGAATCAATAGTTACTTCTGCAATAAAACTAAGATAACTTGTACCGTAAAAATATAAATTTTCAGAATTTGTACCCCTGCCGAGCCTATAGAAACTATCCTAAATTCATATTAGGCTCAAGAGTAAAGTATCCTTTTGCACGAGCAGAATCAGTAGTAACTTCTGCAATAAAACTAACATAATTTGTACCGTTGAAATATAAATTTTCAGATTTTGTACCCCTGCAATAAAACTAACATAATTTGTACCGTTAAAATATAAATTTTCAGAATTTGTACCCCTGCCGTTCCTATAGAAACTATCCAAAATTCATATTAGGCTCAAGAGAAAAGAATCCTTTTGTACGAGCAGAATCAATAGAAACTGCAGAGGTACGTTAAGGATAGTTTTTATAGGAACGGCAGGGGTACACTCCGCGTCATATAAAAGTGGTACAACTCTTATAACGTAAAATCGTGTTTTTCGAGCTGTGTAAATTGATCTTTTAGAATGTGTCTATGTTAAACTATTTTATAGGCTATACATTTTAGGACAACGTTGCCAGCACAACGAAAATATTAGTAGAAGTAAATAAATTTTGTAAAAAAATAAAACGTACTGGAAAAATAAAAAAGGTATTTCAACATTAATGCAAAAAGAATAACTTAAATATTTATAATTAATAAGCGTGAAATTTAAATACATAAGAGAATTCGAAACATAAGAAATAAATAGATTAATATCTTGTCATAGCTCCATTATTATTTATAACTTCTTCTAATCTTCTGGGCATTGAATTGATTAAATTTATTGATAAATTTTTCTCTTCTGCCAAGCTTTCCCAGGTTTCTTGAATGAGGCTCCATAAATGTTCTTTGTTTCGAGGAGTTACATTTAATTTTTGTAATTTTTTGACCATAAGTCCCCAAACGTTTTCGATCGGATTCATATCTGGACTTTTAGAGGCCCATGGAAGCGTTTCAATATTATTTTCAGCAAGATAATCGATTACACGGTGAGCGGTATGTACTGAGCAATTATCATGCTGGAAAATATAATTATTGTTGGGGAAGATTTCCCTAACCGATGACAACATTACATTATCTAAAATGTTTATATAGTTCATCGCATTTTATCTTCCTTCGATTCTCCAACACATTCCTAAACTTCCTCTATACATCCAAGCCCAAACATTTATAGAGAATCGTCCGGACTTATCATTTGAGGAAATATAATTTTCATTAAATCTATTTCGAGGCGGTCTATAAACTCGAATACGGCCATCATGATGTGATTGGAACACTTTTTCGTGAGAAAAAATTACCCGACCCCAAAAATGTATTGTATCATTTAAAACATAATTTAACGCAAATATAACTCTACTTTGCTTATTTACTTCACTAAGCTTGTATTTTCGGGCGGCTACACAATTCTTTAAATCAGTTTTTCTAATTCTTCTTAATGCTGTTGTTACTGAAGCATTAAAATTTGTGTCAACTTTCGCCTGTTAGTTAAGGTTTCATCCTGTTGTGGTGTGGTTATAACTAGTCTCCCAGTCCCTCCTTTTCTGTCCACAGTTTGATTGTTGTCGAATTTTTTTTTAATCTTCTGAATTGTCGTTTTGCTTCTGTTATACTCTTGGGCCAATTGTCTAATAGACCAACCATCTTCTATTTTTGAAATTATTCTCATTTTATCAAAATTACTTAATTGAGCTGGCATCGTAACAATGCGCTGTCACAAATCTGACAAATTGTCATTTTTAAAAATCAAGTTGGTTTTACATTGGGAAAAATAAGTGTACCACTTTTATATGACGCGAAGTGTACAAATTCTAAAAATTTATATTTTAACGGTAAAAATTATGTTACTTTTATTGCAGAAGTAACGATTGATTCTGCTCGTGCAAAAGGATACTTTCCTCTTGAGCCTAATATGAGTTCGGGATAGTTTCTAAGGAACGGCAGGAGTACAAAATCTGAAACTTTATATTTTAGTGGTACAAATTACGTTACTTTTATTACAGAAGTAACTATTGATTCTGCTCGTGTGAAAGGAGACTTTACTTCTGAGACTAATATGAATTTAGGATAATTTCTATAGGAACTGCAGGGGTACAAAATCTGAAAATTTATATTCTAAGGGTACAAATTATCTTTGTTTTATTGCAGAAGTAACTATTGATTCTGCTCGTGCAAAAGGATACTTTACTCTTGAGACTAATATGAGTTTAGGATAGTTTCTATGGGAACGGCAGGGCTACAAATTCTGGAAATTTATATTTTAACGGTACAAATTATGATGTTTTTCATGCAAAAATAACAATAGATTCTGTTTGTGCAAAAAGTTACTTTTATCTTAAGTATAACAGATTTGGATATAATTAAAATTTGTTTCAGGCAGTTTGATTAAATAAATTAGGTTTTGTTTAATGTTACAAATTAGTACAAATGCAGTCCTTTTTAATTCTACCATGTTTTATTTTTTATTTTATTTTTTAATGTGGTCCTGCTAGCCTTATATTAAACTAGAAGCACCATGTGGTTTTGGTAAACGGTACATATTACAAAAAATTGATTGGTGGTACAAATTGGTACAAATTTAGGACTTTTTAATTCTACCTTTATTGGTGGTACAAATTAGTAATAAATAAATAATGTAATAGATCTTAATCGATTCTGCCCAGTTGGTCCTGCCAACTTAAGAGAGGTTTATTTATATGAATAACTAAGCTTACTTTGATTTTTAGGATAGGTCAATGCCAAATGATGGGTAGTGTGTTCATAGCCAATGTTCTTGCATTTGCCCCAAACCTAGCTAAAGGTTTTACTGCAGCAAAAAAAGTGAAAAGCTTTTTATCTAAAGAAAAACAAATAAAAAATGTAATCGCATCAAATAATCTAACTCAGGTAATAATAATAATAATAATAATAATAATACAATTTTACTTATATTATCATGTAAATCGATATTCAATTTTCGGGTATACACGCCGAAATCGGTCATCTCGCGTATGCTATAGTCCGTCAGAACGCACGGTCTAGGATGCAAAGAAAAAAACCGAGGTATAATAAGATGGGAAAAAACATGTTTTTCTACATAGAAAATGAAAATTGACAACTTCCACAATTGGGTAAGACCAAGGATATTTGCAAAAATTAAGGGATTTTTTTTATTTAAACAATCATAATTTTTTTTGGAAAAAGTAGAATCAATTTTTTTATATTTTATTTCTTATTCAATTTCCTTTCTGCTGCTATATATTTCATTAACAGAAATTTGTAAACTATAATAAAAAAAAAACAGTAATATTTAAAAAAAAAAACAACAAAGAGCCAATATTTTTTAAACTCAACTTGCCATAACTTTCTTATGCAAAGAGCTCTTTAAATACTTCTTTTGAAATGCTGCATAATTTCATGAACTTCATCATCTCGACATGTATTTTTATCTACATATAAATATCAAAGACAAAATAGTATCATTTTCTCTTCTGTTTGTGACCCTATTACTAAGTTGAAATTTTCACAGAATGTTATTTCGGTTGCCGCTATAACAACAAATAATAAAATAAAATTAAAGGGGTTCCCCTACTAGAATCGTATTTTTTTTGGATTTTTTGGATTTTTTTGCTTTTCTGGCTTTTTTTTAGAAAATAAATTATAATATTTTACTTAAAAATATTTTTATTGGCTTCGCACTACAATTCGAATTTCAATAAAACGAATTTTAGAATATATAGAATTACCACAAGAATAAATAATAACCTGAACGATATCTCTTATTTAATTCCTTTGTAGTTGATGCCGACGATCTATGACCTCGTCTTTTAGTTATTACTTGTATTCCATAGACGCACCGAAAAAAAGGTCAGGAAAATAAAAAAAATATTGGGTAGCTATTGATTTACTTTTTAAGTTCATACATTACAAATATAGGTAAGTAAAAGATGTATATATATAAAAAAATATTTACTTATCTTTCCAAATGATAACCATTTTGTCTTTTTTAGTTTTAAAATTTCGGTTAATATATTTAAGAGTATAAAATAATCTTGCTCTACCGAATAATTTTATTAAATAATTATGTGGAAATTTTTCACATGGATATGAAAAACTTGTATTTCTACAAATACTTTGAAACGTATCTATTACATTTTTGTGTATAATAATAGTTTCAAAATTTATTTAAAATATTACCTTTAAAAAGGAGATAAATTTTACAAAATCATTATGTGGCATGTTTAAGTTACCAAATAAATCTAAATTGGAGGTGTTATAAGCTTTATAGTAACAAAATAAAGATATATCGTCCAAATTTTGATAGGCTTTTGAATATTCCTCGCAAATTGTACAAGAATGTATAGATAAGCATTTTTTCATTAGGTAACCCGCAAAATATCTTTCGAAATTCGTTTCTAACGTGGACTCTTTTTGATAACTGCTATCAATTTCTGGCACATTTGATGTATGTGGATGTGTATGAGCTACAAATGAATTTGTACCCTCTTTAATGACATCAGATACTCGCAGAAGCTTATTATCCATGTCATTCTCGTAGTTTTGAGTTCCAGAATTGAGTAGCTTTACACAGAACAACTTTCTAAAGGTTCTTTGAAATTGAATGGCTGTTGGATTAGCACAATTACTATTTTGCTGTATTATAAGACCAAACAAATTTTCTAACGGATCTTGGTTTAAACGTCTAGTAAAAAGAAACTTAACGTTTTTTGTTTTAAGAAAATCCCATAAATGAAGAATGGAGCTAATTGTTACTTTAAAACCTGTTATAAACTTTATTGTTTTAGTTGCATCCTCGCCTAGGTTATTAAAAACTTTTAAGTTGTCCAACAGCAATAACATCTCATTTGAAAATGTCAGTTGAAAGTCGAGACCCTTAAACGCCAAATTATATTTCTTCACGTCTGATGTTTTTGATGAGTTTCAAATATCAAATAATTTTTCGATTTTATCAATAAAATCACCAGTTGCCTGGGCTTCATTAGACAAAATACCTAATTCGACGTACACATTTAAAGCCGCCGAAACTGTAAGACTAAATACCTGACTTTCATATTTTACCTTAAATTACCTTAAATTACTAGGAAATATATGCAAATCAGTTAGTTTAGGCGCTGATCTAGTAACTAACGACTTATCAATATTATAAAATTGCGTAATATATGACCAAGAAACTATTTGATTAGAAACAAGAAAAGTATATTTCAGTAACATGTTTTTCATAGTCTTGATGTGGTGAGGTGTATCGAATATATATATATATATATTTATTTAACCGCTTATACAGACCCAAAATGGTACATTATACCTGCGTTACCAGTCCAAAAGTGACGTTTTCAGACCCACAAAATGGTCTCTCAACGTTTTCCTTGTTAATCGACTTCTCTTGACCCCCTTAACATTTTAAAATTGGAGGGAACATTTTTTTTTTGGACCCATAAAACGGTTTTATGAGACATTTTATACAAACTTAGTTCTCCAGTCTGTTCTGTAGAGGGAGCATGAATCGCAGCTGTATATTGTATATCATGTGAACATGTTCTGCTGACTATTTCAGACCCAAATAATGGCAACGTTGTAAACTTAACATTTTATTTCTGTTCAAGATATTGTTTAATTTTTGTAGATGCGTTGTGTATATAATTTAGCCCGATATGGCCCCAATACGTTTTTAGACCCTATTTAAAACTTTATACAAATCAAATGAAACTTTTATTTGAAGGATTTTAAATATAACTAATGGTCATTTTATATAAAATAATATTTGAAATAAATTAGTTTTTATTACTTTGAAAGGAAAGTTATCTGAATCTTATTTAAGAGTATAGTATAGTACCTTATTCTCGAAAAAAGAAACAGAAAAGCTTAAAATTGGATTATTTGAAGATTTTAATTTACACTGATGGGTCATATACATTTAGTCAGAAAAATCTTACCAAATTTCAACACTGGCCAAAATTGTATACAGTGTGGCTCATATTACGGACGTAACATTAAATAATATTTAAAAAATCCTGTAACCAGACAAATAGAAATTTAGAGCTGAAATTTAGCAGAGCTTTTCATTCATTATTGAGGTATGGGTGCATGGGTTTTGAAATCGCTTTATTTTTAATACGATTTCCTTGGTTTTACTACATTTAAAATACAGATAAGCAAATCATTTAAAATCGTATTAAAAATAGAGTGTTTTTAAAATCCATGCTCCCACACCTCACTTATGAAAGGGTGAAAAGCTCTGCCAAATTTCAGCTCTTAATTTCTATTCGTCTAGTTATAAGGAAGGTTTTAAAATATTATTTAATTTTACGCCCGTAATATGAGCCACACTGTATACATTTTCGGTCAATGTTGAAATTTGGTAAGTATTCTTTGACTAGATGTATATGCCCAATTAGTGTAAATTAAAACGTTAAAATAATCCAGTTTCCTGTGTTTTTCGAGAATATGGTACTCTTGATATTTATAAACTACTACTCCACTGAAAAAAGTAGTATTTGCGTAATAATATAAAAAAATATGTGTTAATTATTTTAATAATGAGATTTAATACTAAAAAAGTGATTTTGCCAGAAAATATATAAAGTATAATATAAAAAAGTAAGATTATAGTCGTTCAATTCTCATATATCTATTACGATTTAAGAGGAGTAGTAGCCTATAAATTAAGAAATATTAGCAGTATATTATTAAATACTAAGATATAAATAGGAACTTTGATAATAAAGATAGCTAAACTTTAAATTTTTTTTATAAAAATTTAATAGGGTGACAAAGGAAAGGAGATTACGTATGACTGATAAGGATGGAATAAAAATTACCCTGTTTCAAGCAATTTTTATATTTTCTTTGGTTCGGGAGATATTGCCCATTGTAAGTTTTTAAATTGACCCTCTATATATATTTATATTAAAATAGATCTAGGAAAATAATATTTTCATTGTTTGTTAATAATCAAAAAATGTTTGAGTAAACTAACTATAGCCTTATTAAACTATTATACCGTATTCCATGTGTGTTCGCTCGAAACAGTTTTTGATATTTTACAATAACTGTTTCATTTATTATGCACTACTTGGATTCTATACATAAGATACCCGTCAAATTTGGGTGTTTTTAATTTTTTTTTTTTTGCAAACTACTCTCTAATACCAGTTAAAGATTTAATAAAAATAGTTATTTGTTTAACTAGACAGAGAAGTAACAGATTTACTGCCGCGGTGAAGCCGAAGCAATGAAACTAGCCAAGGCAGTAGATCTGTTTCTCTGCCAGGTGAAACATAATTTTTTCTTCGATTATTTATACTGTGTGTTTAAAAAAATAAAAATCCGTTTTAAGTATAACGGATATAACTCACTTATTTTTAGTATTATTTTTTCTAATCGTATTTTATGATTTTTGATTAAATACACATATAGGAGCTTATAAGGCTAAAAATTAAAAAAAAAAATGGGTAAATAAAAAATTTAAAAAATAAAAAAAAAACTGAAAAAAATAAAAAAAATAAAAAAAAAAATTATAAAAATGTTAAAAAATGGTCAAAAACCTACCTCCCCCACCCCACAAGCATAGCTTCAAAAATAGAATTTTAATGCCTGGGCAGTAAAAATGATTTTTAATGCCTAGGCATTAAAAGTGTTATTTAAATGATCGAGAAATGTCACTAAAATTGAGATTTAAGGGCGATCGGAGAAAAAACCTATTTTTACTTTTATATTTTGTTTTAAATACTATTTGGTAGGTAAAATCAATTGATTGATAGATTTAACACAAGACTAAAATGTCTTTGTTTCGCTAGCCCTATTCCGCTTAAAAATATTAAAAAATTACCTGAGAAGTAGAAGTTGTTATATCTCTGGCATACATCGAATTATTTTCTTCAGTATTT